AAATTGATTACAGCTCTAAGTTTGCTGACATTTTAAAGCGTAACAAATATTAATAAGTTGTTGTTTTGTTACCAATGAAACAAATATCCACCGGTGAAAAAGGAATATTATGACTTGGTTTTGCAGTCATTATGAGAACAAAAAATGAGTGGCTTGAGATAAGCACAATATCTGATTAACTTTCCAACATAAAAATCATTTTTTTATCTGAATTAAATAAAAACAAAGAAATTAATAGTTCCCATTGGAATATGGCTATTTCCCTGGTATTCTAATATTTTCCCATGAGAGTTTACTAGTTTCCCAAGGGAATTGTACAATTTCAAATTTTAGATCACTCTTATTGTTGGAATTAAAAACTCTCATGGGTAAAGTTTTTCCCAGAGGATATAAACATTCTCATGGGAGATAAGAAATTTGCATGGAGATAAAATGTTCATTAGGAAAGAAATATTCATATTGGAGAAAAAGTAACATAAATGTTTGTTATGCAGATTTATCAATCAATCCACAAATAGTCAACAGTCAGTTCACAATGCACAGTTATACTGCTGTATTGTCAATACATTCAAATAACTAACATGTAATAAAATTAAACTGATAACTTTTAATATTAACACAATTCAATACCTTTATAAGATATTTTTACACAAATTGTGCTAAATTATGTTGGGTTATAAGTCTTCAAAGTGTCTACATAGAAATGATTCATACCAACTAATTATCAACTATGGAATTCAATGAGCTTGCATGAACCACCTTAAATTTATACAAATAGTCCACAGTGATGTTTAAAATTATCTTAAATGTCGTTAGAAGGAGACGGTGCATTTTTTGGGCAGTGAATTCCAAAATATAAAACCATAAAAAGTTTAACGATACCATTACAAATCACTATTAGTTGTGCAATAATTATTTCTAAGAATAGATAAATCAAAAACTAAGTTGTCACTTTGTTAGTTATTTTTTGGGCTTCGTGCCAATGTGATGAATCAACCCGTTTCCAATGACTAACGAAGTTTCAAGCATAAAAATGTTGTGTTGCTACACTAACGTCCCAGGTAAGGGTAGGGTTGAGCTCTCACAAACATGTTTAACCCCGCCACATTCTTAGCGTATCATATGTATATTGTTCAATAGTCGTCTTTGGTTGCTGTCTGTCTTATTTGTTTACTCGTTTATCGTTTTATTATAAATATTCTGCCTTAAATGTTTTCACAATTGGTTGGGCAAAAGTCTTGTATAGCTTTCTATGCCTTATAGGTTTCGCTCATTGTTCAAAATTTACTGTGACTAATAGTATCGTATTTCAAGTTATTTCGTCATTTGTGAATAGTTGTCCCCTTGGCAATCATACCATATCTCTTTATTCTTACATAGATAGTCATGGGTAAGGCCTTATTTCGTCTTTATTTGAATTCGAAGTAATTGCATTGTTGTTTTATCATGAAAAGGGAATATCTTACACCAATAATTCATTTTAGGTAGGATATATAGATGAAAAATTTGAATTTGTAAATCAGAGATAGTTCCAAACACAATTGATCTATTTAGCAAAAATGTACCTTATCCTTTTAAAAGAGCATGGTGCCTTGGAAGCTAAACAAGTATTCGAATTGCAAAAACTTCTTTATTGTAGGAACATTGGGTTACACCTCACTGGTAGACATTGGCGAAAAAATCCATGCTCAGTTGGTATGATTAAAATGCATAATGCCATCAAATCAGGAAGTGAAAGTCTGGCTAACATGGATGGCTCACATGGTAGGACTTAACATAATGAATTGCTTACTAAATGTCACATATATCCTTAAAACAAAGCTGAGAATCAAGAAAAATTATATATTCAGTGGGTAATATGAAAATAAGAATATTTTAATAATAAGAGTCATATGAAACGAGTTTCCTGTAATTCTAATGTTATCGAAATTATTGAACCAATGCATGCCTATATACTAAATTATTTTCTGCATGCATGTTTTTGTTATATTTATTACGAATCTATAGCGCATTATCGACACATAATATTTCATTCGGTGATTGTTGATTGATAAGCTTTGGGTGCTTAACATCCAGTGGCAAATATTTCATGCATGTTCAGGACGAGAACAAATTAACAATAAATACAAAAGGTAGGTTCCGCGATAGCGTGCGGGATGGAGGTCGGGAAATTTAGACTGCCACGGAAAAATGATGGTACATTGGATAGGGACAGAAATTTAGCCTTGAAACATGGCACCGACGGACCCCTCAACGAGATGTTACAAGGGTTCTTAACGTGCGAAGAGCGTGACACTCTCTTTACACGAGGCATCGGATTTAACGTCCCTATTCTGACAGGACGTGGCTGCAAACTTTTACATCCCGCACAGCCAAACGGACGCCCCACTTTGGCGAGGATTTTACTGCCGGTCGGAGGAAGACTAATGGTGACCATATTTCTATTCCCCAGCCACCCTTTCAGTGATTGTTTATCGCACGCTAATTAACATTCGAGTTTGTTGCCGAAGTTTACCGGATCGTGACATTGATAAACAATCAACACAGAGCACGTGAAGCGCGAAACAAATAAGTGAGTTGACAGAGCCATGATATTGTTTTTCATATTTTCCCTGCGTTCCCATTTGTTTATTTAAACTTTTCCTTAATAGTTGTTAAATGATTTGTTGTATTAAATTTACTATTTGCCTTCCACAGCACATTTGTTTACATTCTTTAATTTCGGTTTTCCCCCTCGCTGTGCGGTGGCCAAAGTGAAAACGAGAGGTCTCGTAAAGTTATAACGAAACGTCTCTAGTAAATCGTCAATGCATACGGGAATTATAAGCGAATAAGTGTGCGGGAAGTTAAAATTCAATAGCAGTATATTGATGAAGATTTTGATAATACAAAGAATTTTCTTTTACAAGATAGTTCACATACACATATTTTGTAGTGAATCTTAGCCATTCAAGTATTGAAACACATTAAACTTTTTTTTTAATTTGAAATTTCATATGACTCAAACACAGAAAAACTCAACCATATACATTTCTGACAAATGTTATATGATAAATCATTCCTCATCACACAAGCTGATTTATTTGAACGGAAATTAGGGACATACAAAATGACGAATATACCACGAGACAAAAAGAGAGCAGGAAGACAAAAGAATTTCAGTATCTCACTGTTGAAAACATCATGAAAAAATACAATTAATAAAAACGTTTAAAGATTTGTTTTTCTATTAAAACGTATGCCCAGTTACAACATATGTGTCATCATTGTGAGGTTTTAAGGATCTGCGTCGAAAACTGTGAGAGAAAATTGGTGACGTCTTATGTAATTTAAAATTTTGTTGAAAAATATTTTTCTGTATAACTGTATCGTTTTGATCAACACAGATTTGACATATGTGATGTTATGTTCAAGTTAATCGTGCTTTCATGTACCACTGATTTTAATTCTGAAGCACAAAACAAGTATTTTGCTGAGGTTTGTTTTATCTGGGGAAAATTTTTGTGAGTGCTCTGTGTTTCGATCTGAATTTGCGTTTAGCACATATCCAGGTTTTCTCCACCATTTTCTACATAAGGAAATGCCTTCACCAAGTCAGGAATATGACAGCTGTTTTCCCATTCGATTGATGTGTTTGAGCTTTTGATTTTGCCATTTGTTAAGGGACTTTCTGTTTTGATTTTTCGTTGGAGTTCTGTATTTTGGTTATTTAACTAATTAGTTTATCTGCAATGATCACTTTTCTGTCAACACTGGACTTGTTAGTTCAAACCCCGATTCAACAATGTTGTATAGGGGAATTGGGGATGTTGTAGCGTTATGATGATGTTATAATGCAACACTTGCTCGAGTAGTTAATAGGAAGAACGACTCAAATCATAAGTAAACGAGTTTGACGGTCATCATCATGAATTGGTCGAAGGAAACATTGTGTCTTAAATAACTATCTTGTATCTTGTGGAGGTAATAGAAGAGTAGCAGTTTGGATATGCATGATGAATGATATCTGAATAGTAGAAGATTGAGCAGTCTACGAACCTGAATGTTATTTTTAAAATGTATGCTTTATCATCAGGTTTTTTGTCACTTGTTTCTAAATGTTTTTCTGCTGTTTATGCACTGGTTATGTCTTGGGTGGATTATAAGTTTAGGTTTTTTAATATATGGACATTGGTAATCGTACATTTTCTTTGCCAACAAGTGACAAAACTATTTAAACACTACTTAATAAACAAAATGTAATGACACGATGAATCAACAGTGTAGTTCAACTTTCACAAACCGCTCAAAATTGTGATAACTTAGAAACTTATATTGAAATCTACCTCACATTTATTACAAAGAGCACCCATAAGAACAACAGTTGATGATTTATAAATAGATATGTCTTTTTAACTTTTTCAGTTTTAGTCACCAGGATTTGTTTACTCGTACGGTGCACCTTATATTACCTACGGTTTCTGAAGGGGCGTGTGTTAGTTTTCAGCTTTCTATGTTGTGTTTTGTAATCTGTTGCTTGATTTATTTTTTCATTTTTTTTCTGTTTTTACCAGACATTGCCAGTTCTTTTACGACTTATGAATTAAAATATCCTTTTGTTATCTCTTGCCTCCTTGAATTAACAGCTTACTTATTTGACAAATATTAAATTACCTTGCAAATATGAACTAATAAAACAAAACAAAAATAAAATAAAACATCAAATTCATCACATCTTTTATTGCAAATGCAATAAGTGTGAGCTAAATTAATGTTTAAAAAGAGTTAATAAAAACAAATAAAAAAGAAAACATAACATAACATTCATCCCATATTTCATAAAAAAAATCACTCCCATTTGTCATTTGACAAATGAGGAAATTAATGCTAAATGTACCCATGGGAATCCCCTCAATGTTGCATCAAATAAAATTAAACAACATGATAAAATAAATGCCAAGAACGAGGGTAAGCTAAAAAAAAGTATAATATGAGTTAATAAAACAAAACACAAAAAAACATAAAGTTCAGCTCATCTTTTATTGTAAAAATAAAATAATCATTCCCACGGAAATAAATGTCAACATGTATCTATGTATATCCCCACAATGCAACATCAAATAATATCAAACAAAATAATAATGTAAATGTTAGCAACGATTATATCTAAACGAAATTAGATTTTAGTATTTGAAAGCTACCAATGAACATGCTGAACCTCAATTTTTCCAATTATAAAAGTGACGTAGTCGATACATGTAATAAATGAAATCAGAATAAATCAAACCGATTATCCTTCAAAATGATATTTCAAAGAAAAAAAAACAAAGTCTGCATTCATTCATTCACCATCATGTTGAAACATGAAGTCCATTAACCTTCTTCTTTTATTTCTTTGTACTAGTCAAATCAAAATCACTGATGAGGATTCCTAACCATGTCCTTGTCTTCTGCAAGCTTTTATCTGAAGAAAATTGAGTATTGGAAAATTATACTGAATTACTTTCTTGCCTTACTGTCAAAACTATATTACCAAAACTAAATCATCTCCATTAACTACTTTACCAAAATGACCCCTTTTAATTGAGTATGCTTCGTCCTCAATTTTTAATAGCATTTTTTTAGAAATATAATATGTATTCTGTATACTGAGATCACTATATCTGATTGCTTAAATGACTGCTAAGATTGATAATTAAGTGCTAGTCTTTGTAAGAATCAGGCAATTAGGAAAAACTTCAAAACATGGCCGAAAAATATCCGCCGATCTAACCATCCTATTTGGAAGTCCTCTCGTCCTGAGTTAGAAATGGTAGGCTTTCGTTTCTGCGTGTCTGGTAATTCAAGAAATCTCCAGATATCTTTTGGTTAGAATTATAGCAAATTAAGAAGTTAGCTTCCCTTAATTAGTAATTTCTAGTGCATATCAACAGAATTATAACTTTAATTATCAGGACAGGAAACAGGACACGAATGTTATATTCGTACACCATTATACATTTTGAACTTAATGTAAACTTGAGTGGGTTTTTGTTTGTCATGTTTTCACCACTGCCTTAATCTTAGGTAGTGTGGCACTTAGACCTTTAGGTTCTGTGGAAGTATTTGCTGGTTATTTAAATATGTAAAACTATGGACGTTTAATCTCATTTATGATTTCCCCCTGTCAAATGATTCTGTTAAAAATACAGGGGTCCCTAAGAGTAAAACCTGTGCTCCTAAGGTATTTAAATACCAAGAACTGGTTGCATAGATAAACATATTTGTTTAAAAAAACAAATTCAGTAAAAAGACAAAATTGAACAAAACGAAAAGTAGAAAATAAAAATTCATGTTTCTTTACAAAACTTCCAAACCAAATATTTGTATCTATGAAATATTTCAGTTGAAATTCTACGTAAGTCATGTTAACGAAATCCTTGACTTTTTTTTAATTTTCAAGTTAAACATAAATTACGCTCATCGAAATCTAAAACGTCAATACAGACATGAGGAAAACAAACGTGTAAGGATTTATATACATCTCACGATGAGGCCAAACAATCATCACCGACATGAAAGGAAAACCAGCAATATAGATCGAAAAATTGTTTATCGTAAATTTTGGTATGTGAGTTCTCTTGTGAAACTTTAATATCCGAATAAAGACAATGAGAGACATTGTTGTTTATATTAGACTTATTTAAAGTAAGTTTCCTTGATAAAGATTTCCGCGGTATGATAAGAGAGTTATTGATCATTTAACACATAAATGTCATCAAGGTAGAGTAAAGTGTTTTAAGCAGCATACCTGATTTCTTTTCTGTGTTTTTGTCATGTTTGCAGGATTCTGTTAATACAATTACCAAAGTTAATTCAATGAATTATAAATATACACACATAATTTACTTGTCATTTCGCTTTATAAAAACAAACAAGTTATTGACAGTTTCACATAAAACAAAAATATAAAAACATTACAATGGTTCAGATAAATTTGTAAAGATATTTCCCCTTTTCTCAATAAAATGTTTGATACATTGTTTTCTAAGATAATTTGTTTTATCAATTTCAAACTAATATTGTAAACTTGCAATTCAAAAAAGGTAATTGACTTTATATATAAAAAGAAGATGTGGTATGATTGCCAATGAGACAACTCTCCACAATATACCAAATGACACAGATGTTAACAACTATAGGTCACCGTACGGCCTTCAACAATGAGCAAAGCCCATGCCGCATAGTCAGCTATTAAAGGCCCCGAAATGACAAATGTAAAACAATTCAAACGAGAAAACTAACGGCCTAATTTATGTACAAATTATGAACAAAAACAAATATGTAACAAAGCAACAAACGACTACCACTGAATTACAGGTTCCTGACTTGGGAGAGGCACATATAAAATGTGGCGGGGTTAAACTAGTTTGAAGGCGCCAACCCTCCCCTAATCTGGGACAGTGGTGTAACAGTACAACATAAGAACAAACTAAAAAAAATTCATTTGAAAAAGGTTTATATACATTTTAGATATGAATATGTTTAATATTTCTATTTTATAAATAAAATGTTACAATAAATTATTATCCTATGATAATAATCAACATTCAATCTATCTTGGTGTGGTTGTTTGAAAATAAACTGATGCATATATAGATATTTTAAGAAATGTGCACCACAGAAATTTAAAAAAAATGTAAATGAATACAAAATTTATAAATATTTTGGAAAACAAATATCCTTGATCAGTTCTATGGACGTGCTGAATCCGAAATGAATCTTTTCCGATTGATTCTCTCCTCCATCGACCAAGCTGTGTTGCAGTCAACTTTGGTAAAAGTCGATTAACATCTGTCTAATGTCTTAATTAGATTATGTTTCAATTTTGGGATGTATACATACGCAGCCGTATATTGTAAATACTTAATTTGCATGTACATTCCGATTTCAGAATTATCAAAATTACTTTTCTACAAGCTATGTACGGTTTTTAATTTGTATTTAGTTCAACATTTCTTAAAATCAGCTTACATTAAGACGTCATTTTACAACTGACTGTTCATACTTATTAAGCATAATCATGAGAATATGTAATCCTGAATATTGATATTTGTATTTATTTCTATTTTTTTATTTTGGTGTTGATCATTCATTAAACATTAATTTTTTGTATTGTGTACAGTATCTTTTTTCATAACGATACGAAACTTTTTTAAGAAACACCATTAAAGAAAGAGGCGAGATATAGCAATAGGATAATCAAATTAACTGACAATACCATGGCAAAAAACGAAAAAACAACCAAAATGCAAACAGATGTCCATAAAAGAAAACAAAGACAGCTACAGGAAGAGCAACACCACGAACCCAACAAACCCCAACAACCCGTTACCTATTATGTATACGTTCTATGTATGAAAATCTGTAAATACAAACTGAAGTTGTGGCGGAAACGCTTCTTGCTAAAAACATGATCATCACTTCCTTTCGTATAGTATACATTTTCAAAAATCAGCATTAAATTTTGTAGTTAATTGCGGTGAAATCTGTTTGAACACCGTAGCTTCACGTCATTTCCCGTTCCCCTAAAGTGAACGTAACATGTACCTGGACAATCTCCTAAGTTACACTGTGATAGTTCGATGTCATTACCAACACAATATTTTCCTCCGTTTGAAGGCGAGGGGTTATTGCAAATTCGTTTCCTATATTCTTCGCCACTCCCGCATGGCACTGAACATGATGCTGTTGACCAAGATCCCCAATGACCATCCACTGAAATGAAAATATCACGAAAAAATGTATTAAGAAACATTAATTTTGTAAGGTATATTTTTTATCTGCAAAAAAAATTATTTGATACGTACTTTTAAACATATTTTTTTTTATATATATTAAATTCCTAATATCAACTGGCTATCTTAAATCAAAGGTTCATCAACATGTAAATTTCGTTAAGGTAGTACATAACACAACAGGGTTATAAATTTATAAAACTCAGCTGAACGTTATAATCACGTTCTATTGTAAAGAAATATTAAGCTTCTCAATGATAAAAATTAGTGTTTGTCAAACTGCTACATATCCAATGAAATTTTTCCGATAAAGTCAGTGTTTGAAGTTTTTTGAAACTTTTATATTTTTGTCAAAGGGTCAAAGTAAATATTGTGTCAAAATTTTATGAAAATTAAACGAGCCAAATTAAATTTGGTCAAAGTGTTTGGTACCACCTTAAAATATATGTTATCAACATTGATCCAGGTTATTTGGCTACCTTGAACGTATACATGAAACTTCGTGTTTATATGTTGTGCTTTGTGTACTGGTGTTTGTCCTTTCATCGTTTTTCGTTTCTTGCCATGGCATTGTCAGTTTGTTTTCGACTTATGAGTTTAAACATTTCTTTGGTATCTTTCCCTTCTCTTTATAAGACACCCATTAAACCATCAGCACTGGGAATGCAAATATCCTTACAGTGCAGAAATATTTGTAATTGAGATAACAAATCGTATATACGAGAATACTTTCATGGCACATCAAATTGTAGGTTGCACTTTGTAAATACAGCTGTTTCTCAAACCACGCCTCTTTTGGGGAGATATATAATATTCATAGATATTTCGTTTTGTTTACGTACTGGTTCCCAGATATGATCTCTATGTTTCATCTCATAGAGACGTAACTTGGGAATGTTAACAGCATAAAAACATAGTGTTGCTGTGAAAATTGAATTCTGAAGTAGGCACAAAGTGAAGGTAGGGGTAGTACAGAATTTTAGTATAAGTTTAAACTCTAACAAGTTCGTGGCATATAAATATTGAAAATATGCCGCACAGCCCTATGTTTTGACCTTTGAATTAAAAAGTAGTGCATATCAACTTTCCATTCTAGGATATAATTTTTTACGAAAGTTCATAGTAAAATTGGCACAGTTAGCCTATGGGAAATTGCATTGTCTATATCTACAGAAATGCAACCTGTAACTATGATGTGTGCATTTATTACAAATGCATCTAATTATTGATAGTAAACTACTTGTGTTAGCAATATTTGTAATTAACAATATCTTGTATTAATTATATTTGTAATTAATTTTACAAATCGTATAAAATGTTCATGTAAACACAAGTAATTCAATGTTTATATTGCATTTTTAGTAAAACGTCCTTTCAATTGACATGATAGTGAAATATTTGATGGATGATTCCATTAACACAGAGTACTAAAGTTTGTTCCATTTGAGTAGTAACAACCGCCACGTCACCCAACATGTTTCGCCACAAACAAGCGATAACGATGACAGAAATTTAATGTGTTAATAGCGACATTATAAGTACATCTAGTGATGCACAGACAACATGCTATGCTTAAGAACCCGACTTTATTCCTCCTTTACAGGTGTCTAGTTTAATGAATTGATCTCTCTATGAAATGTATTTATGTGTCCTATGATTATGTTTTCTCGTAATTATTATCATCTTTTCAAGATGATTGACCTTTAAAATCAAACTTTTGAACCTTAAAGTCATTAAAATAAATGACATACCCTGAAAAGTACAGTTTGATATGTCAAATTCAGTGATTTTCGTGACTGCATCAAAGTCATAGCATTGTCCTGAAACATCTTTGAGTTCAGTTTGAGAAGCTTTCCATTTGATCAAGTTGGTCATATTGCAACATATTAAAGGGTTTCGATCCAAATAGCTGAAAAATAAAAGTTGAGTGCACTATTCTATAACATTTCAATGGTGTTTCGTTTGCCGTTTAAAAAAAAAAAAAAGAAAGAAAAAAAAAAAAGAAGCTTCATCACACATGATCAAGGCTTTTACAATCATAGTTAACACATTCTTGCACCGGTGAGATATTCAAGTTGTTTCTAGTTAAAACAAAATAAAAAACAAAAATATTAACGATAACACAAGAAACATATTACAAAAGACTTAAAGATGTACTAAGGTGAAATTAAAAAAATCTACAATTTAAAATTGATACTATAAGAGCAATAGTTAAGGAACAAAATAAGCTTAAAATATTGATATGTTATGGAGCTCCTTTTCGAGATATTTTTTGGTTTTTTTTTAAATGGCGGGAAAAGACCGACTCGGACATTTACCTTATATTTGCATTGGTATTATTTTGGTCTCAAATCGAAAGATAGGAAATCTAGAATCTGCTTAAATTTTGGTAAATGAACTTTAATGAGCTATTGAAGTCTTATCTGAAAAGAAAAATGGGTGTTATGGGGCAAAATATTTTACCCTGTATTGAAGGAAAAAAACCAAGGGGTCCGAAAATCTAACACAAATTCCAAACCTCACCTAAGTACATCCTTAGGGTAAAAAATAGTTTGCTTCGTTTCTTTTGTTCCTTTGTTATTTGTATCATATGACATTGCTTATAACAGTATACGAAGATATGTAAACATTACGTACAGGTTGGTTATATTTGTCATTTTTCTAAATATGCAGGCTGATATTGTTGTCAAGTTGTTGTTAGATAAAGATCTGAAATGAAAACATTTAAGAAGTTAAATATAGCAATGTCATATTAAATTGAATAATACAATATCTGAGACTCTTTCAATTTATAACAGTAGCATAAGTAGTGAACCATCCTTTAGTATGGAAGAATATAATTTATTTATCGGTTTTTATTAGCTTTTAACTAGCTTTTAGTAACAGAGTACTCTTATATCTGTACATTGCGTGTTTTGTCATTATATTTGTTGTTTCTTTATTGTGCTTCGTATCAATATCAGGAATCAAGTAATTTCTAACTGATTTTTCAATTTGTTCTTATGTTGTGCTTTTAAACGACTATGCCAGGTTAGCGAGAGGGTTGAGCGCTCACAAACATGATTAACTCCGCCAAATTCTATATGTATCTATACCAAGTCATGACCTTTTAATTTAGTGGTTGTCATTAGTTGTTGTCTGTCATATTTGTTTTTTGTTTATTGTTCTGTCTGTTTTTTTTTTTTTTTTTGGACGTTTGAAAGGTTTCATTTTCGTCATGTCGGGCCTTTTATAGCGAACTAAAAGGTATGGTTTTGCTCATTGTTAAAGGCCAAACGGTGACCTCCAGTTGCTTACCTCAACGTCTTGTATGCTCTATTGAATAATTGTAGAATTGACAATCACATTACAGCTCTGTATTTTATATTAAACACCACAGACTTGAAGATTGATTTTTACAGTGAATATTGAAAAGTGAAAAGTCATGAAAAGAGCAATATTGGAAAATGAAAAACTTAAAAGAGACATTGATTGATTGATATATGTCTCACGTCTTGGAACATTTATGCTGTGGATATGCAGGACGTAAATTTAAAATTATACAAAGACACTCTTTGTACTTTACTGACCGCCTAATTGAACGGGCTTGCTAACAAGGTAACCCTCGGGAGACCCCGAACCGACTTGTTTATGTTTTAACTGTTGGAAGTCATTCCGTTGGCAAGATAAATTAAGAAACGATTACAAATTATTAGATTCGACAATCATTGAACCGAAATAACGACATCAGTTACTTGCTTCATAAACGCTACAACGAAAACGTTCAAATACAGAAGTCTCTCTATTCTATTCCGCCATTGGTAACATAGATTAACTATCAACTATTTATTGGATACCAATGTTATACAAAGGCCCTTCATTAGGTCTGCTTTCTAATGATCTTTACTATTGGCAAAAGTTAAACATAAGCTTTCCCTTTACATTATTGTTATCTACAAGAAAGATTTACGTCAGCGGTTTTTTTTTCTGACGTAATTTGATGTTTTAACTAATTCTTAAATGAATTGAATACCGGGTACATTCATTGTTTTTGGTTTTTCTTCGCGATGATGATATCCCAAGTCAAAGTGAACTGCCTATTTAAGCAGTTCATTGGCAGTTTTATAGCAGTATCTTGAATTTGTAGCTGTTTTGGGGTAGTACAAAGCAGTTTTGATTTAGGCAGTTTAAAAAATTTCTTAATATTATTTATCACTTTTTAAAGATTTAGGCACTTAATTGCTAGTTATCTTTAAAGGAACACTTCAACAGAATCAAACAACTCCTTAAACATCCCCATGCATTGCAATATCATAAGATTTGAATTTGGAATACAGGAAGACAACAAGAAAGATGTGTCATCTTTCATGAACAAAATGAAATTTTACTTGGGATATAATATACTTGGAAATAGTTCTTTTCACATTGAATATTAAAGATGGGCCTTGTCTCAATGGCAATATTTGAAGATTATAATCATATTAATTGTGTGAATTTTGGATTACATCTTAAATAATTCCGGTAAGTGCAAAAAATTGGATTCTATTATTTAGATTTTTTGAAATTGTTCTTTCAACGTTTATTCAACATACATTTTTGACATAACGAAACAATAATGACAAGTATGATATATTTATCTATAATAGCTTAATTCTTATTTTAGCTCCTTATAATTGTGACAGTCCAGCTGGTCTACGTGTCATGTATTTATAACAATTATATCAGAATAAAATTGTTTCGGTTTACAAATATACTTAATCATATTAATAGTCTTCTTAATCAGGTACTATAACAAGTACTTAATTTCAAGTATATCATTGTATATAAGATTGCATGAATCTTGATTTCCATTTCCATTATATCAGATGACTTAATTGAAACTTTAATTACATGTTGCACCTCTGACATCAGTATTTAATTGTAATACATAAAAGCTAAACATATTAACCATAAATTTGGATAACATAGAAGATATATTTTTGTTTATGATAATTATTACATGTTATTGTTACTTTTTTAACAGCTAGTACTAGTATAAATAATGCATAAGATCATGACCATATTTGCATTTTCCTTAGCAGTTATTTCCCAGTTTTATATGAATATTAATTAACTAGAAGCAGTTTAGTATGAATATTCATGAACTGAAAGCAGTTTTTAGTACCTAATTTAAATATTTCGTGAAAATAACTGCTAAAAAAACTGCCTAAATCAGCTAAGGAACTGCTTTGAACTGCCAGAATAACTGCATGAACTGTGAAGGTTTAGGAAAACTGCTTATTTTTGTATATGAAGTAACTGGTTAATTTTTGAAGGTTAAGAACGGCCAAGCATCAGAAACTGCTAAATATGTGAACTTAGAAAGCTAAGAAACTGCCAAGAAACTGCTTTCTATTTTGACTTGGGATCAAGTCTTAGTTTCGAGTTTTTTTTTCTTTTCACTATGTTCTTCTTTCTACGAAGTATGATTCCCCATTTGAAAATTCTATTTACATTTTAAACCTACCTTCCCATTTTCTTGTTTCAATGAATTTACTTATCTTCAATCATTGATGCAGAAAATGTTGTGTATATACATCCCATTAGAAAAAAACTCTAAAGGCATCCCCTGTTTCAACAGATATTAGCAATGGCTGATAACAGAGTTTTCAACCCTTTGATATCGTTTTTTCAAAACATGCAAAATTTAAGCTTCATGCATCCCTATAATGATATACTTTTATAAATTGGAACTTGGATTGAGAGTTGTCTCATTGGCACTCATACCACATCTTCCTATATCTATTTTGAAAATGTTCTTAACAAAGGTTCATATATATTGAAAATACGAAAAGTAATATGGAAAACACACTGTTTATAACCTGTTTGTGAAATAAAGGTGGTGTTGATAGGTAGAATGTTGTTTTATTCGCCATTTTTATATATCATATGCCATCATGCATATTTCAAAAAACTGTTGTATTGTCTAAATCTTAAATACTGGTTGATGATTGAAGCATTTGTTCAATATTTTGATACATTGGTTTTATAGGATTCAGCATATATAATGTAATTGTAATACAAAATGGTACCTTCTATTTATAAAATTTATATGCTCGCATTTTCAAACATTCTACAGCTTGAAAGAAAATCTGTAATTTGAAAACGGAATATTCATCATGATTCATGTATTTGAGCAGTGTGTTTCTCAGTCATGATCACGTGACTTGGCTTATTATCATTTGCTAACTAGGCTGTATGAACGCATGACTTCTTTATACAGATGATATGCTTCTACGTAGGCTTAATCTAATTTGCACAAAAACTAAAATGATACAAAAAAAGTATTTTGGGGGGATTTGAGCTTAAATAAGAATAACACTTTATAAAATTTCTTTTTGTCCGATTTCTTGATTTACATTCTTCAATGAATTCTCAAACCAAAACATTTGAAAATAATGAATGTATTGATACGTAGACATATCAATGCATTTTAGTGCAATTCAATAACACGTACTGAACAGTCTGAATATTGATCGAACAATCGTAATTGACTTCATTAATTGTTCAATGTTCTAAAAAACTTCGGATCAAAGTGACTGTTTCAGATTACAATTGTTGACTAGTAGTAGAATTTGAGAACTGGATTTTCAGTTCTTCTTTATCTTAAAAACAATACTAACATGTAATCATATGACACAATATCATTGAACGTATCTGTTGTTATAGTTGACATTTTGCTGTACGATCTGAACATTTGTTACGTATTAATGAATAGACAGTAAAACACTTTTAGATAGTTAGTTTTTCTTCTTTTTTTTTTATTTTTACCTTTCCAGTCAGGCTGAACATCAGATTCACAAGAAACGCTCACGACAAAAAAAAATACACTCACTGTGTCAAAAGTCGAATACTTTTTTTTGGCGAAACGTGACGATAAACCAA